CAAATTTCTCAAGTCTCTTGGTTTTTTTTTTTTTTTTTTTAGGATCAATGTACACGACGGTCTGGCATCCGATGAAAAGTGGTTTTCAGGCAGTGCATGGACACGCATAATTCGAGGCCATTAGAACACGAGAACCGATTAAATGCACTTTGCGAAGAGTGAATCAAAACGATCATTATCCTTCATGATAGCTACGAGGGGGGATAAGGGGGAGCGTTAATTGCGAGACAAGGGTAGAAACAAGGCTGGGAGACGAGGAAACGGATTAGGGAGGAGGGGGATTCTCTTCGTTTCCGGCCTCGGGAAGCGGAAAATTAAGATGATTACCTATGAAATGAACCAGTGTCCGATATTAAGTTCCCCGAGGAGAACTTTCGTTAATGGCCGCGCGAAGCGATCATTAGCGATCGTTAATTGCCTCTCCGTATTTTCAAAATCATCTCGAGATACCAATGGAAAATTTACAAAGAGGAGAACGCGTAAAAATTTGCTTGATTCCACCGATCGTTTCTTTCGGCCAAATCGCGTGCAGATTCGTTCGATCGAACTTCCTCCATAAGAGAGGCGAGAAATTTCTCTTCTCCAAAGTTTTTAAATTTGCGCGTACCTTCCCCCCTCCCCGTATGTAGAGCATTGCAAAGAGTGTAGGGGAGCAAAACGACAACGTTGTAACGTTAGAACCCGTGCCGCGGTCGATGCAATTTTATTAACCGGGCAGCAGCAGCACGTTGCCCGCGGCGGCAGGAAGCGGAAGCGTCTATGCGACACTGTCCACCCGGAAACGATGGTTAACCGACCGTCGAGCCCTTCCCATTCCTCGCGTATGAAAAATGACGGATCCGTGTTGGCCGAGTGTTCGTAATAGCGGGCTTCGAAAAAGGGTGCTCCTCCGAAAATATTGTGAAAATTCATCGAAACGGAACGGCGACACAAAGGCGTGGCTGTATTTTTCTACCGAATCTGCTTCGATTCGACGCGCCGCACGCGCTTCAACACACGCGATTTTCATCGCTGTAATTTTGTTTCACGACGTTCTATCCCAACTATTGTTGCACCACGGTAAAATGCGTATCGCGAATCACGGAAATTAACCCTTTCGCTACGGGCGACTTCTCCCGCTCAACGAGCCAAAAACGAGCGCATCGAGAGAGAGATCGCTTCGAGTTGCTTGGAACGGTGTGTTTATTGGAAAAGAAAAAAGAAAAAAAAAAAAAAACAATTGACGATGAAAACAAAGTATCGACGCTACTAGAGAATTGTTACTCGATGCGCGGCATCTTTTGCAGAGCTGGTGAAAGGATTGAAGAGAGATGGGGAGGTCGCGCGACTTACCTTGAGATAGGACCCGTAATACTTGGTGACGTATGGGCTGTCGCATTGGGACAGCACCATGATCTCCTGCTGTATATCCTCGATCTCATCCTCCGCCTCCTCGAGATCGATGATCTTGATGGCGACAACCTGCTGGGTCCTATTGTCGATGCCTTTGAACACCTCTCCGAAACTACCCTTCCCAATTCGTTCTTGTTTCGTGAATATCAGCTCGGGGTCCACCTTCTGGGAACAGAAACAGAAAATTATCTCCCTTCGGATGAAAATTCGAAAAAGGTAACGACGACGAGACTGAGGGAGGGGGAGGGGAGTGAAAGGAGAGGAAAGGATTTGGCAAAGCCGCAATTTGCCGTTTGCTTTTTGCCAAATGCTTCGCGGGGATGCTACAATGGCGAAAGTTTGAACGGATTTGAACTCGGAGGCCTGGCTCCGAGATCGCGGACACCGTTTTACCAAATTTCGTTTCAACGAGCCGAAACCGCACACGGCGCGTTCTAACAAACTTTTAAAACCCGCTCGGGGAGAACTTGGAGAGAATTAAAAGAATATACAGGCGTCCATCGAGTTCCATATATTCGAGTTTATGTCTTCGGGTAGAGTGAGTCGAATGGCGTGTTAATTCCAAGCGTTCTTTCACGCTTCAAAGTGTTGAAAAAATTAGTAAAGCGAGAGAGAGAGAGAGAGAGAGAGAGAGAGAATAGGCTCAGGGAGATAAAATTACGCCGATCGATCCTGCTCACGGAGGAGGAATAAAAGATTCGTCCCAGGAGGAATCTCCATCCACGTGGGACTTTCTTTCTAACCGCACGTCCTTCGAAAGTCGAGGAATGCAGTCACGTCGGTGAGAAATGCAGTTCTCCTTGGCTCCTTTCTAACCGATGACACGTGATGTCATAGCGGATAGCGGAGAAATGCGGCGTATCGACTGACTAATCCGTTGATTCGGTTCGACATCAGTCGTAATCTCTCGTCCCTAATTGCCTAGAAAAGCAACTCGATGAACGACGCTCGGACAGACGAAACAATGAACGCGATATCGAGGAAGAAAAGAATCATCAAAGGATCGTCGATGAGAAAAAGAGGAGGAGGAGGAGGAGGAGGAGGGGAAGGGGGAGGTTTCGTAAAAGCGGCAAAACCGGGAGAATAAAATCGATATCTCCCGCAAAATTAATCGAGGCGCGTTTGAAACGCGCTCCGTTCGAACGTTGGCGACTGTGATGATGTTGGCTCGGACCACCACCACCACCACCACCACCGTGTGAGAAAATTTGCAAAGCAGATTTTCCGCATTTTACCGGCCGTCTACCGCGCATTTTATACCACTCCTCGCCCACCACCCCCGCCAGCTCCTCTCTATCTTCAATCCGGTCTCTATGATGCGAGCTTTTTATCTACGTGACTTTCCACGCGCGCGCCTTTCGCAAACACACCGAGTGGATTCTAAAAAAAAAAAAAAGAAAAAGAAAAAAAGGAGGGGAGAAACACAGAAGAGAACGTCCGTTTATCGCCGCCGCTTTCATCTCGACGAAATTTTTCTCGTTCCGAGGGCCACGCATTCGCTTTAATTTCGACACGGATCTCTCTACACATACGAAAGATCCGAAATCGTTGAAAATTTAGGCAAGTAAGCGTTCGTTTTCCAATCACGTTTCCATTTAAGGAAACATCTCGCAGCCGAAATCGAAATTGCCTCGAAAAGAGGTAACGAAAGTAGATGGAGAAGAAGAAACGAAGTCGAGTTGAGAGAGAGAGAGAGAGAGAAGAGAGAGAAAAGAGAGAGAGAGAGAGAACCAACGTCATGCTTGCGAATCATGGAGGTGGAGGAGGAAGGGAAGGAGTGGAAAAAAAAGAACAAGTAGTTTCGACCAAGTTCGAACGGCCTCGATTTCTTGCCTTATTTTTTCTCCTTCCCCCCCCGTCGGCGTAAACCGCTGTCGTTACGGCGATTAGAGCCGGCCGCTACTCGCGTTTCCCGATAGGCCAAGAGGAGAGATGAAAAACGGAGGGGCCGGGGAGGAGGGGAGAAGGATGGAAAATCGGTTGCGTACGGACGGTGTTGCACGGACGAACGACCGGTCACGAAAGAGCACGAACGACGAGGAGACAAATTGCAACGTCCATGTGACGTTGCTCCGTGCAATAAAAGCGGAGAGGTGGGGCACAGGTCTTACAGCTTCTTTTCCCGTCTGGTTGTCGCGTGAAACTCACAAATTATAATTAACGAACATAGCCAACGACACAGAGAGCCGGCAGATAGGTGGTTGAAGCACAATGGAAGCTGAAGATCATCGTTCTGACAGAGAGACGTTTCTCCTTCTGATTTTCTACAGGTTTTCTTAATCCTTGATGATATAATCGAGAAAGATCGAGAGTATAATCGAGAGAGTTTTAATTTATATTCGATTCTTGGTCATATCTTTTGATTTATCGATTGCTTTTCATTTCTTTTTATTATTAATCGTTGTGAAATACGTTGTTATCCATTGGAAATTTGATCCGTGACTCGCCTCTCGAGGGAAAATTCAAGTGGAAAGCGCGACCTTTTCCCTTGCGACTTTCACGTGAAACAAGACCTTTTTCAATGCTAAACTCGAATATCGAATAATTCGTTCTCTTTACTCTTTACGTTCGATACTTATTTTTTTGATCCCCCTTGCTCATTTTTTGGAACGTCAAGAAGGAACACGATCAAACATTTCACCTTCCTCACTTCCTCGTCTTCGAGCGTTTTACAGGCGTAAACAATTAAACGCCTTTTATTACTACGCTGGGATTAAGAAAGTAAAGTCGAACGAACGATCCAAGTTTTTATCATTTTTCTTTTTCATCCATCCACACGCTATTTCTCCTCACGACACGAAGAAATTTCGATCGAGCGGAGGAAAAAATCGGAGCAATAAGCCGCCTCGTTTTACGTTATATTTCTCAAGGTGCGCGTAAAGAAAAGATACGTTGCGAGAACTCACTCGTAAATCGAAGATTGCACGTTTCCAGGGAAACGAGGAAGATATCGGTACAAAAAAAAAAAAAATTGTAAGATACGCGTGTATGCCTCCGTCTGTCCCCTCGAGCTGATAAGGGTCGAGACGCGCCCCAGGCAGCGAATTACACCGATGCGTGGTCAGACAATTAGCGAGAAAGTTGGCGCAGAGCGCCGCGCGTCTGTTGTTTTCCCCAACTTGGTGATCCTGTTACGTTACTCCGCTCCTCGTAGCAGACGAGAAATTCTGATGGGCAAGTTGATCCACTCCGAAACTGAATTATCCAACAACCTCGTGTTAAAAGGGTCGCGTGTTATGCCTCGTATCGTTGCCAACCCAGTTATGCTCGCTCCATGTTATATAATTGACCGACGCCGTGTAAAATTAACGTTTCCACAACATTGATTGTGCGATAGAATCACTGTCATTCTCTCTCTCTCTCTCTCTCTCTCCAAAATTCTCGTGGAAAAATTGTCGATCGAGGTGCAGAAAGAGAAGAAGAATTCGAGAAGAGGAATCGAATCAAGAGGAATGCGCGTCCGTGTCGTTAAGTTTTGAAACGCGTATAAGCGAAATATATCCTCGTGACGAACGTCGAAGCCAACCTCGTTTGCCAACTTCCTTACGCCGCTTCAGACTTTCGCAACATTACAAGTCTATTTTAGCGAGCCGGAGCTATCCGTCTTGTCGACTCACCGCTTCCAAACGGCGTTCGTCTCTTGGAAGAACGAGCGGTTAAAATCGATGAGCAACCTTCCGTTATTTTCCGCCGTCAGAGATTGCTTATTGTTCCAATTTCACGAACAAATTTCCGTAGCGAGATTTCACGCCGTTGCAACATTCGCAATTCCTCCACCACCGAGGAGGAGATCATTTAGTTTACCAGCCACGTTTTTTTTTCGACTAAACAGCCAGGCAAGCAAGCGAGATTAATGCGACGAGACGGATGCTGCGAACGGCTCGTATTATATCGCAGCCACCCGGTTCTAGGGTCAATCAGCAGAGTCAACATCGGCAATAATAGAACGGGCAAACAAAATCTGGCGCCACGGGATTACAACGCGTACCACACCTCCAAGATACGAAGCCGCTTAACAAGTCGACGAGTTGGTCGAAAATCTCACAGCCAACTTCTTTTTTCCACCTGATCAATTATCGATTCACGATCGAATTGCTAGGGAAAGTGGAAAACCGTTTTCACGGACACGAGTCGAGCCGATGAAAAGGGACCACCGATCTTTAACTTCGGCCGGGAGAAAGTAACAGGAGATCGGTTCTGTGCCCGGTCAAACGGAGAAGGTATTTTTAATCGTGCCCTTCGATCGATCGATCGATCTCTCTTTTCCCTTGTCATCTTATTTTCTCTCTCTTTTTCAAAGTATCGACGAGAAGAAGAGAAGATCTCGATAGATCTTTGCCACGATAAATAGACACGTGCGACGATAAACAATGAGGCATCGTTGGAAGCTGGATCGAATCGAAATGCGGGACAATCCTGTTTGCGAAAAAAGAAAAGGAGGAGGAGGAGGAGGAGGAGGAGGAAGAAAAAAATTCGTGTTAATTCCTCGAAGCGACGCGCAGCGGCAAAAGTGGACCAAGACGATTTTCTAACGGGGTCGTTAGGTAATTGTGGAAGATTTCTGCGACGGTTGGCACGCCGTTACAACGCGGCATTTCCATAAAAATCCAATTTACGATGGATGGTGGTGGAGGGGGGAACGGGCCGGTGAGAAGGATTCTGGGCTCGAGAAGAGGAGGCTCGGCCGCGCTCGGTGAACTTCAACGGTGTTCGAAAGTAGTTCAACGAGCGCGCGCGTTAGCGCCATGTGTCGTCCGACCTCGTTTGTTGCGAGAGTAATTTATCGGGGAGGCGGAGAGAAAAATTAAAGTTTCAAAACGGCGGGTTCGATCTCATCTCTCTCTCTCTCTCTCTCTCTTTCCGCGCGTCGCGTGCCTGCGAAGTAACGAAAATCGGCGGCAAACAGCACGCGTTGCGTTCCCCTGCGGCCTCCTCGCTCTAATAACGAGATCAAAACGCGCGTTAAAAAACTCTCGCACGCGTTTCTAATTTCAAAAGATGCCCCCCCCTCCTTCTCTTTTTCTCGGTATCCGCGTTCTTTCATTTCGTTTCGTTGTTATTTCTCTCCAAAGATTGAATTGAACGGAAATTGTAGAAGAGGAGGAGGAGGAGGAAGGGATTCGTTCGAATTCACGGCGTGCAGAGGGACGATGACACAGACGCGCCCCCAAGTTCTCCCTAAACGAGTTGCCTCGACGACGATTATTACGTTATCCCTAATTATCTCGAAAGCACCGCCAGAAAGCTTGCTAATTCGATCGCCAACTTTATCAGTCTAGAATTCTTTATTCCCCCGCCTCATTTTCAAAGAGGATAGAGACTCGTCTTATGCTCTTCTTATTTCGCGGAGGAAGGAAACGATAAATGAAACATTAACTGGTTAACTGTTTCTTCCACCAGCCTCGTGGTTAATGCATAAGTGAACGAGGAGCGATAATATATAACGCTGGATGGAATATTAATATTCGAAGAAGCGTAGCCAGCACGCGCTACCGGCAAAACACGTTCAACGAATATACACCGCGGAGCGAAATACAAAGTTCGACGGAATCTAACGGAATAGCAGCAGCAGCAGCAGCCGGCCGGCCACGCTTCTCGATGCGGCTCACGGGCCACTCTTCGCCTCTCTCGCTTGAAGAACGATACTTGGTGCCGCGAGAAACTCACCGATACACACCCGTGCCTGTTTATTTATGTATGCCGACGCACGAACGCCGATACAATATGGACGATCATGCGCGGAATGCAACGATTGAAATCGCGACGGACACAGCGCGTCCTCCAAAGCCAAACACGCAAATCGAGGAATAGTTTTAGATTCGAAGCGCGGCGGGGGAGGGGAGGGGAGGGGAGGGGGAGGGGGAGGGGAGGTCTATCTTTTTCGCAAACCACGGGAATATGTACGAGAGAATGTTTGGAATTCGAGTGACTGGCACGATCGAAATCCTCGTTCCTCCAAAATAAATATTTTGGAGGCGCGTGGAGGAATAAAAGGAAGGAGCCGACCTTGCGCTGGCCTCGGCCGTTCTCGCGCGAAAGGGGGAAGAAAAAAGGAGCACACAGCCTCCGAGATATCTTACGGTCCTCGGGAATCCTGTTACACCGGTATTTCCTCATTGCACCGGGATAATATGTATAAGACGGATTCTTTTATCGATATCTTCTCTCCTCGTTCGAGCCTAGCTTTTCCTCGATTACTCGCGGCTAAATGTTCGCGGAGAAAAAGTGGAGGAGGAAGCGAGAAATGGTTTCTTATCCATCCATTGAATTGGGACAAATTTCCTTCCTTCCTTCCTTCCTTATCCAATCCTCTTGGGTTTTTGAACATTTTTTTCCAACTTCATAATGCACTTCCTTCTCTTTTTTCTTCTTCTTCTTCTGTCAAGGGGAATGAGAAGAAACGGACAGCCGGTATCGGTTTTCGTTCAACCGCAAATTACTTGGGGAACCGTTTCTTCTCCGTTCCATTCTCGGTGGCAGTCCATCTTCGAAGCATTCGATCGAATTGCTTGAAACGCAACACCGAGACCACTTTCTAGCATCGCGTCCTGTCTCGGGTTGCCTACGGGACTTTGAGGTTAGGGTTAAGCGAAGTTTTCACGAAGAAAACTGGTATCTCTCTCTCTCTCTCTCTGGAAAGACGATCGTACATTCGTTAAGATCAACGCGTGGCGTTGATTCCATCCGCTCGAAGGAAAACATTTCTCGATACTTAGGGAAGAGATTCGTCTCAATTCGTCGAATCCATCGGATAGATACGCCACCGGGTAGATTTTTCGACATTCCTTCACGATCGGTTTTTTAAGCCTCATACGGTATTCCACGCCGTGTTTTTCCACACACTCGCCACGCATAAAAAAGATTCGTGCTCCCTTGCCTTTCTCTTTCTCTGCCCGCTTTATCCTCGCACGCGGTGACTAAAACCTGGTCGCGCGTAAACCGATAAACGACGATTCCTGTATAATCTTCCTCCCCCTGTATGAACGCGTGTAAACGAATAAACTCCGATAATTCTATCCCCATCCTTCCTTCCCTCGCAATCCTGTCCTCTTCCGTTCCGAATCACGAAATTCGCGCAAATTCTAACGGAATTCACGGGAAAAAAGAAAAAATAAGAAGAAAGAAAGATGACGTATAAAAGACGTTGGCCGACGTCACTCACCGAGGGTGTGGTACTCCTGTGCGTTCCAGGCTTGGAGGAATGCAGAAGAGACGCGCTCTTAGGATTGGCGGATCCGTTGCCGGAAGCCCTTTGGCTCTCCCCCCTTCTGGAGGGCGGCGGGGGCGGATGCGACAGAGGCCTGGCCGTGTTCCTGGGATGCTGGGGCCCCCCTTGAAACTGGCCCCACGATTGACGCGCCACGTAGCCCACGTAACCGGCCGAAACGAACTGCGCGGAACCGTTCAAGTGAGGCGGCGCCATCACCGCCGTTTGCTGCGCCTGGCCGCCGTTCCGCATTTTTTTCGCCCGCGGAGAATGTCAAATCAGCACACTCGCGATCACTGGGTCAACATTCCACCTGTTCCTCGCCGCTTCCCCGCGATAATCTCCCCTCGCTGCGCATTTGAACGCCGTGCTCGATCGCCACCACCGCTTCTCTGCGGAAGTTATTTCCACGTTTTATTTCTCCTTTTCGTTGGAACAACAAATTGTGAGATTCCAGAACGAGGGAGCTCGATATTCAGCGCGCATATTCGACCACTTATTTCCCCTCCTTTCCTTCGTCGTTTATTTCTCTCCCTTCTTCTTCTTCTTCTTTATAACATTGATTCGAAAATCGCTACTGTGCTTCTCTTTTTTAAACTCGAAATAACGAATCGAATTCGTTGAGAAGTCGAGAAAGAGGAGAACCTGTGCAAAAATCGCAAACTCGACGATTTCTACTCCCTTCTCTGTGCTTTCTCTTTCGTCGTCCCTCTCTTCGAAATCGAAATATTTAAAATAGCATCGAAACCAAGTTACGAAATTCGAAAAAGACTGGTCGCTCGCGATCGACGACCCAAAAAAAAGCGAATTACGACGAGAATCGAGGAATCGTTAAGAAGTTAGCCGCGATTCGCGTGGGATTCGAAGGGGTGGTCACGCGATTTTAATCGAATCGAAACCGCCTCGAACGAGCTTCTCCCAGGGTGAACAACCACCCTGTTGTCGTATCGGGAACGAGTTATGAGCCACCACCACCAGCCTCCGTCTATCCAACACTGTCGTGCGTTGAATTTCGATTCTCCGTCGGCGGTTTCGCCCGATCAATCTCATTCTCGGTTGACCCAGATTATCACCGATATCGGTTTATCTATTTTTACCAACTACTCCCGTACTATTTTCGCATTTTTAACGAAGTAGTAGATATTGTATCGTTACAGTTATACGAGCATAAAACACACACACCGATTTGTTGTCTCTCTTTTGGAATTGATCGTGGGTTTTCGTTAAATCCGCGTAGACAAATGGATCCGGTTTCGCTCTTCATTTCATTTTCCACGTTTTTTCCCCTTCTTTTCTTCCTTGAATCACCGAGAACGGTCTGCTAAACGCAGGCGGGCGAGGACTGTTCGTTCGAGGAACAAAAGTTTCTTTCGAACGAGAGATCGGAAGAACTACTTTTAAGGGGGATGAGAAAGTGGAGAGAGAAAAATTGGAGCAGCTATCCGTTCGGAAACTCGCCCGTTTCTTCCCCGCGTTTTTCCTCCCCCCCTCTTAAAAAAAGATTCGCCTCTCAACTCGCGACACACACCGAGTAACAGCCATCGAGTATCGTTCCAAGATCCTCTTTTGTCTTCTTCTCTTTCTTCTTTCTTTTTTTTTTTTTTTGTATGAATTATCGAGGCCGAAAATTGGGACAAAAGGCGACAAGAAGCGAGGAAAAGTGGAGGTCGGTTTTCGGAGGCCTCGCGGAAAAAGATAGTCGAAGATTTCTCTTCGAGAGGATTCTAAATTTTATAGGAGAATAAGTTTCGACCGGGTCTCTTGCATCCCTCGCCGCTTCTATCCTCGAATCGTTCCGTCGAATCCGATGGTAAAACCGCGGCCAAAATTCACGTGCGCTCTACATTATTATATCATCGTTACAGGGAAACACGGTTGGATGGAATGGCGCAAACGACGGATGGATATCGTCTCGTTTCGAGGCGATTTTTACGATTTACGAAAAAGGGGCTATTCTTCGAATTTCCAACCGTGGCGAAATATTTAATCGAAACGGTGCAAGTTCAGTGCCAAACGCGACACGATCGACCGATTAAAAATAGGAGCACCGATGGAGATAATAATCTGGGTCAGTGAGAGGAGGGGAGATGATTCGAAGCACGATCAGATTGAATTTCTGTTTGCACTGGCACATGGACGGAATATCGATCGGTCGAAAGGCCGGCATGGCATGGCCAGGAAGGGAAAAAGAGAGAGAGAGAGAGAGAGCGTCTCTGGTCGCTTAAAGAAGCCCGAGGATCTTTTGTCGAATGGGTCAAGATCGGTATTCCCGATCTGCTACGAATCATTTCGAGGAAGTCACGAATTTCTCGTTTTCTTCCTCCCTCCCTCCTCCCTCTTTCTCCTCCTCCACCCCTTAGTTGCTCTCGATTTAAATTCACCGAGCAAAGAGGTTTCGCCTTGATGAATATTCAGCGTAATGAGTGGACGGTGTTCTCGATCTATCAACGTCATTCACCGTCCCATCTCCTTCGTGGATCGTTCGAGTAATGATCTCGAAGCTCGCGAAAAAAGGCGAAGGAAGAAAGTAATGGCGGATGAAGTATCGCGTTTTACCTACGCGTCCAGTCGACAGGGAAATTTTTATCAGAAGAAAAAGTTGTATTTAAACAGAGAGAAAGAGAGAGGGAGAGAGAGAAATAAGGATTAATCAGAAAGAGCGTCGAGGAATTAAGGCTAAATTACGCGGATACGCGAACAGATCGAGACGAGGAGAACAGACACGTCGTTCGTGATCACGCAACCGATCGGGCACGCTCGAATAACTTTCAGGGTGGCAGCTTCCGGCGGAAGTGTGTAGAGCCAAGATCGAGTTCGCTGCACTATCGATGCCTCGCCATGCCTCCAAATCACCGAGCCGAACGGTGATTAACTCCGGCCCGAAGATAATCTCCGAAAGGAGGGAACGAAGCTCACTCTCTACTCGCTCGTTCCGCTATTTTCCAGTTTTACGATCGTGCATCATTTACCTTGCGATTTCTACTATTTTTTTTTTTTTCCCCCTATTTTTACTTAATTACCACTTCGATCGAATCGAAGTGAATAGCTCTCGCAAGTTGGAAATCGTTAGAGAATTGAGTCTATATCGATAAGTTTCGATACGAGCAATCAAGTTTTAGATATTATTTCTCCGATATCAAATCGAACTATATAAAACTTCTATGTTCTTATTTTTGTCGGATTATCACGTTGGTCGCGATGATTGCTGCTAAGCCGATGATTCGAAAAATGGATACTGCGAGCATCTGAAACTTCGACACGTACCGTGCTATCGATGCCATCGCTATTCAAAACCTCCGTTTCCCTCCGTTTAAAAAGATACACAAGTATCCAAAACGAGCTTGAAAACACGGTTGAAAAGTTTCTTCGGCTCTTTAATTCGAGAAGGTTAACAACACACCTCTCGTTCGAAGCGCAAAGAGCGACGAATCGAAAGTTTAAACGAAACAGAGAAGATCCTCGAATTGCGCGGAGAACGATTTCGAACTACTCGTTAAATTATATTCCCTGGAAGGGAAGGGAATGGATGGAGGATTCGATAAATACGCGCGTTCTAATTACCCCCGCATTGTTTCCCCAAGCTCGAGAAGAAGGACTCTCGTTTTCGGTCGTCACCGCGAAAACCTCTCGTCCCTGTCGCGAACAGTGAAAACGTGGGAGTGCGTCGACACAAAGAGAGGATGCGGAATAATCGCGTCATTAGCTTTGAATTGATCGAAAAACGATTTGCAAGGCAAAAAAACTGATAATCGAACGATTTTTCTTTTTCTACAAGTTTGGAGAGGGAAACGATCGACCGACAGAAGAAGAAAGAATTCCAACGATCGCCCGGAACACGACGCGTTGTTGTTTCTTTTTTTTTTTTTAAAAATCAAGCGCGTCGCATGCCTCGTGGGTCGTCCGTTACTCGATGAATAATTGGGGCTCGACTCGGCGATGCACGCGCGTGTTTGGTATTCGAGGGCCGGCCGTTAATTGTTAATCGTGACGCGTAGGCGGATACGAAAGCGCGTGGCTTTATTAGGGTACACGCGGCGTGGGATCGAGCGTGCTAAGCGTTGCCTTTTTACGACGGCGCATCGTCGGCGAATCGGGAAAAGGAATCTCGTCGAGGCGAGCAGAACGAGGAGAGACTTGGCGTCTCGTTTGCCAAGCGCGGGACGTGGTTCAAAGACACCGGAAAATTGAGGGGGGGAGGGCATTGGTATTGGGCGAGGAGCGTTTCACGGTTAAGTAGATTTGCCCGTTTATGATCAGACGCGCTTTCAAGCGAGCCTCCCTAAGGGTGTCAAAGCGTAATGGCGATAACCAAGCGAAAGAAGTGTATATATAAAACGAACAATGAGCGTGAAGAACATTTTCCTTGGAAAGTAGGAACTTTATTATATCTCTATAAGTAAATATTCTTATGAATTTTCCTCGATCGATCGAAAGAGGACATGCGTATCGTTCCCTCGACATACACACAGATACTTTTCTTCTCGATCTCGAGCTACTTCTTTTCACCACATTTTCCAGCAGCGAGTTTCAGCGCCAACCTTTCAAAGAAATCCCGGCTAGTAACCGGGAGGAGGAGGAGGAAAGTGTCGAGACTCCGTGTGGGGGAAGAAATTGCCGGTTTCAGCTGAAAATCGCTCCGTTTCTTTAAAAGCGGCTCGAAGGAGAGACACATTAACCGACACATTTCGCCGCGTACAATAGAAAAATCGCTCGAGTTTCGCGCGCCGTGTTATCATACGTCTCCGGGCCGAGGAAAGAGCCAGTGAGCTCGCTTACGAGGAAAAAGAGTGGAAGCGAGACAAAAAAAAAGAGGGGGGGGGGAGGAAGAAATTTCCACCTATACTCGTCCGTGAAAACGTAGCGCCTAATCCCCTTAATCGTTCCTCCACGCGCACGTCCCTACTCCTCCTCAACGAGGATGAGCGTCGTTGGGTGAATAGAGCCGCGCCTTTCCAACCGGAGAGACGAGGAGGAATCGAGCGAAACTCGGCCATTCTTTCGAACGGTGCCGTACACACGCGCGGTGGTAACGGGAAGAAGGGAAGGTGGAGGGGAGGGAAGAATTAGCGACTTTCATTACGCGCGGATGGGGATTTCAGCGGAGGGGAAATTTTCGCCAATTTTTCGTTTCGGCTCGCGCCGATTCAACGCGGAATGCATCCTCTCCATTACGACAACAACTTCTTCTGTGTAACTTTTCAACGTGGTTATAACGGTGTATAACTCGTCGATTAGAACACGTTGATTCTGCTCAACGCAGCTGCCGAGAAACGTGAATTCGAATCGATCGAATCCACGCGTCACCGAACGAAGGGAAATTGAGCCTGAGCACAGCTTTCTCCGCGCCTTGCGAGTGTAACATCGCCTTTCCACGCGTGCTTTTTTTTCGCGAGTAAATAAATTCGGATCGGTCTGCTGTTCGAGCGGTCTGTGTTTGCACACTCATCGATTCCGCAACAAATGGTTCGTTAAAACGAGCGATACCACCACCCCTCCCCGCGCCATTTCACGCCATCAGCGTTTCTTGGAAAAACTCCTGTTCAGGAGGTCGGTTAGGAGGAGCAGCTATGCATTTCCTTCCCGGGGAATGGGAGTTCTAATGGGACGAAAGAGAAAAGGAGGGGCGAATACGATATGCGGCACCGGTGCATGCATGGAACGTAACGTGGTGGCGCACGATATACGGCGGGAGATAAAAAAGAAAAAAGAAAAAAAAAAAAAAAGAATATCGGTCAGTGACTTTCGCCCGAGCCTTCGACGACTGTAGCGCGCGACCAAGATCGTTTACTAATTTATCTGCCGTCTATCCAGTCTAATTGCTATTTGAGTCAATCGCTTCATTCTGTCCTATTTAAGCGCTACACTCTTTCTCTTTCCCTCCTTGCTTGTAAACACTTGTCACTTTTCGTAGCTTCTCGTTAATTTTCCTCGCGGTAAAAACGCGGAAGGCAATTTTCCACGCCACCCGAGTAAAAATTTTCCAACGAGAGCAAGACGTAACGTAAGACACGCGAACGTGATGGAAATGATGGAGTTTACGATGCAACAGGATGGAAATGCCCAATTTATGTAACGCGATTCGGTCGATCCCTTTTCTCTTTTCGCGCGGTGGTAGTGAAAGTGCTGCCTAGCGAGTGCTGCCTTGCGCGAATAACCGGCGACGCGATAAAGCGATCACCTCCGACCGAAACTCGTTTCTCCTCGCGTATATATATATATATATAGTCGTGAAAACTCGATCGTTTTTCCAAATATCGATGCAGTCTCGTTGAAGAAGCGATGAACCGTGACATCTCTCTTTCTTTTTCGTAAAATAACCGTAAAAAGTAATAACGAAAGGAGTAAACTGCTTCATCTCTTTAATCGTAATCGGTCGTTTTCTTCGAATTAAGAAACGAATTAATGAATTGAGAGAAAAAGAAATAAAGAAAGAAAACGATGTTAGCCGCGCGACTCACAATAAAAACTTAGTCTTAAAAAAAGGAATGGAATATTGGCGATTTTACGCGGGGCGATTTTAAACCGAAGTTTAAAGCGTCCATTTCATTGCTTTTCCGTGGCTCGACACGCCGCCGTGTTTCGGTATTTTTCTTCTTTCAACCGAAAGTCAACGACTGCCGCGTATATTATCCCTCTTTCTCCTCCCTGACTGGGTGTGCCAGGACAAGGCTCCGCGCGTTTTTGCATCGCTAAGCGAGACAGCCTCGCGGAGATTAAAGCGGCGGTGGAAAGCAAAGGAGGAAAGAGGGACGCGCGGCAGCACACCGCCGATCCTTGAATATTTTTCTCCGGTTAATTACCGGTTCCGAAGGAGGCGCTTTTCATCCGCGAGACGGACCAAGAGTTAAGTAACGACCACTTTCGCTCGTTTCCACCAACCAACCCCCTTCAGACCTTTACGAGGTTTTCTTTTTCCATGAAAATTCTTTCGCTGCGCCAAACCCTGCTGTGCTCTCGATTCCCTCGTACCGCGATACCCATCTTCTCGCGTTTTTACGACTTTCAACTACGCGCCTCTTTGATCCCCTTTCCTCTTTCTCTCTCGATGCACGGCCACACGACCATTACTCTTCCATGGAAGGAAAAGTCTTAATCTCTTAAGGCCCTTTTGCCTTATCCGTCGACCGGAGAAAACTCCTCTCTCTCTCTTCTCCTCCCCTCCCCTCGATCGAGGAGCAATAATTATTTCAACCAGTCCGCCGCCTCGTCTCGTCTCTTTCTCGCCTTAGACGGCCATTTTATGCTCTAAATAATCCGGCCACTGTAAGGAGAATTAACCTAGCGTGCCCGAAAGCCATACCACCTCCCCGAGATCGGATCGTTTATATCCCTCCCGCTGAAAAATTAATTAATACGTTTTCTTGCGCGAGATTATCGTCTCGTTCCCTTCCAGGGAAGGAACGGACGAGAGAGGAGGTATCGAGAGAATGCATTTAAAATCCTGAAATTGATCTCACGACGCTTCGCTGACATTTAAATGTCACACCGCTGCGAGCAACCGTGCAACAACAACCGCCGAATTCCGTTTCTTCGCTTCGAAGGAAACGAGGCGAGAGAAACAATTGAGATTTCTGAGGGTTTCGATTTTCCTTCCCGAAGAGAAAAAAAGACGGGGGAGAGAGGGCCGGTTGATAAATCATCCCGAAACGTCCGCTTCTTGTCGGAGACAGCCGTGTCATCCCGATAACATATGTTCGATAACTCGTCGAACGTGCCTTATTTATTCCCCCCTTCCCCTTTCAATCGACTCGCTCGTTCTGCAATCCACCCTCCTCGAATCTTCGTTGTACCTGAAAATGTCGATGCATCGGTCAACCGATGGCAACCGATCGTCCGCACTGATTCTTCTCCGATCGTGCACCGATCGTGCTCGTATATATATATATATATAATTCGTCGTTGGAGAACACTGGAACTAACACTCGTCGACCAAGAAACACGAAAAATTTATTCTTTTCCTCGTTCACCACGTTTATTCGCTCGTCGTATCCATGTTTTTGTTTTTCGGTAAAAAGGTAGCTCACACGTTTTAACTGATCGGAGATTAACACGCCATATTTGCTACACTTTCGTGGAAAGAAGGTGGAATCGGTCTCGGCTTCGAGAAAGGAAGGAACGCGGGTTTTCGCAGCCAGAACGGCTGGCTTCGCTGACCGGTTGCCTGCCAGTTATTGTCCGCGGCCGCTTTCGAACTGACACGCGGTGCAGCAGCGCGAAGAAAGGCGCGGGAGAGCACGTCGTGGGACATCAAAGTGGTAGGGGAAAGCGCGAGGAGGGAATGGCTGGACGATACGGACACCCGATAGACAACCTCGTCGCGATAGGATTTTGAAACGGCTCGAATCGTTGCAACTCTTGCGAGTTTTAACTCGGAGTTCTCCTCGAGATAACGAATTCCTCGTTGGAAAGAAGGTTCGACAGTTGTAACGTTTCTTTCAAATAATCAACAGACGTTTAAATATATTCCAGGCTTCGAAGTATCGTCGAAAGGCTTGATCGATTCGAGACGGGTCGAGAGTTATTTCGTTTCCACTTCTCCCCTTCCAACGGATTGATCAATTCTTGAAAAATGGTGAGAAACTATCGAGAGATGGATAAAACTTTCGAATCTATCAACGACGCTCTCCAAAACTCTCGGCAAACTTTATTTTATTTAAATTCGAGTTCCAAGATCGTATATCTTTGCTCCTCCAGGTGTGACTGAACGCGCAGCTTCTTTCGAGTTCTTCTTTCTTTCGTCGTGATCGTGTAAGAGGTGGATAAGGGAGGTTTGGCTCGGTGACAATCGGAAAAGGATCGGCGGAAATCCGTCCAAGAATCGTTATAGGAGGGATCGAGAGTAAAACGTAGTTTGGAACGAGTTTCTGCCCTCGTTCGATTCGAAGCCGACCGGTTCGTTTTGATACGGCGCGCGCAATGACACGGATTCGAGCGGGTGAATATTCATAAGCGAGGTGACCTTGATCGAAACGATAATGGGACACGTAAGAAATCTCTGGTTCGAGTCCTTGAAAAGGTTGTGATCACCATGATTACGAAATTATGCACGCCGATCGAATCCAACCGTGAAATAATAATACAGATTCGAGTACGCTTTTAATCGATATTGGGGTTAATAAGAAATTCAGAACGATTTAAGAAAGTTTTCCCTCTACGAAAAGAGAAACAAATTCTTCGACATCGAGTTACCTCTTTATGTTATAGAATCTATTCCGGAAAAATCAAATCTTGAATGTTATAAAAGAATTTTTGGGACGATCTAAAAAAAGTAAACAATAGCCAAAAAACGAGAAACGAAAAAAATAAAGATATCCGACTAAGAATAACTCGTGTAAATTAATTAAAAGTAAGAGCTAATTGCTCGTTTCCTATCTAGAGAGATCCGCGAATTGAGCGATCCGGTTGGAAAATTGAAATTGAATCTCGTTTCTGGTCTCGATATCGATCTAAATAGTTCTCTCGGTCGGGCAATTAGTTTAATCTTGGTG